ATATGACAGAAGTTCTTCCAAAGCATTTCTTGTCAAATGTACATACAATGGCGAAGATATGGTATTTAAAAAGTGAACAGACTTTTTTTTTCTATCTCCTTAACCCATTAGCACATACAATTCTAAGTGGGGATATATTTTCACATAGCATTGGCCAGGAGTGTACTGTATTAAAGATAATATTTAATGCACATCTCATGCTAGCCATTGGCTACATGTAAAATATGTTAATATACATGAACAAAATTTATTTTGGTTACATTGTGAATTGATAGTTCCTTGTTAGCATTTTAATTTCATGAGAGGTGTATTCTATTCCAGTATCGTGTGATCTTTATTTTGAATACATATAGATATTTAATGTGGACGTGGCGATTGTGATTGCAGTTTGCTAGCAAACATGATTTGGAGATTTTTGGACACTAAAAGGTGACCTGTTTTGGGTGAGGGGGGTAGGGGAGGGGGGGGGGGGGAAAGCTCTCCTTTAAATGAACTTTGATGGGTGGGCTTTGTAACTATTTGTTCTCCATGAAAACAAGTTATTTATATATTCCATTTTTTTCAGTGTGCTCTTAAGTTATTTTACAATTTGTATGTTATTACTGCATTACATTTGATGTTGGTACAATATATTTTAAAAACAAAAATCACTCAGGTTTATTTCCTCTTTGTTAAACCACTTTTGGCTACGTAATTTCCAATAAGAAACCTGCAAAACTGAATTAAAACACAACATTGTTTTCCCATGCTTTTTATTTATTTTATTTTTTTTATTTCTGCAAATACAAATGCTACATGTGCTACTGGTAGTGAAGGCCAAATGCATATATTTGGAACACAATCGGAGATTAGTTTATGATCATTCTGTATTACATCAGATACTGCTTGGATTGTACAGATTGCACTATTTTTTTACTTAAAATAGATCTTTCATTAAGAAAAGGATGCTTAAACATTCAACAAGTCACTAATTAGTTAAAGCAGTATGTTTTCGCTGAGGCTATCAATGTCTAGATTAAAGTCCAGTTTGAATGTTTATTTAATTCTAACCATGATCATTTTGAATAATTGTCCAAAGTGTTTAGACACAAAACACCTACTGATCCTATACAGCTTTCTGCTACATATAGATTTGAAAGCTACATATAGCATGTAAAGATTAGTCTCATGAGCAATGAGGTCAATTTACTGAAAGCAAAGAGGATATTTACTTTGCAAAGTGTAAGTTCAGTTGAACAGGTGAATGTATATGTTCACTTTAAATACACAGTCATGTGTGAGGAAAGTTAAAAAAATAAAAAATCTAGAATATTGCTATGAATTGATTGGTAGATTCAGGTCAATACAGCATCACCGTATTTACAAAGCCAGGTCAACATTTCGTTTGCTAAGTCAATATTCTTTGCTCCTCTCATAAATCAACTCCATTGTATTTAGTTAGCATTAAGCAAGTTTCAGCAGACATTAGTATGCATCTGCAAAGATCAGCCAGTGTCCTGCTAAATGCCTGCTGAAATCAGCTACACATCTGCTAAAGTTTGCTAAACACCTCTTGAACCAGGTTTTTAACTTCGGGACTTTCACTAACAGATGTATTTCACACCTGTCAACTAGAGCATATATAATGTCAAGAAAACTCTTGATGCTTGAAAAATCTTTGTAAGAGTTTGTTTACCATACCATACTTAATATTTGTGTTAAGCTAAGACTAAAAAATGACCATGCATATTTAGCCCTAAAGGAAGAGTTAAACCAACAATTTTCCACTTCTGACTACTCAGTAGTGGCACCATGGAATTAAAAGGATATCTGGCAGCAAAAGTGTTTTCTTTCAAGAAAGCAGTTTCTGCCTTACCAAAATATAGAAATCTTGCTTTGCATGCAACAGATTTGTTTTAAACTTCATTCTTCAAGTGTTTATATTAAAAACAAAAACCCCAACAGTATTATTTTATTTATTTTAACAAAGTACAGTAATATTTTTTGTTAACATGGGCAAGAATAGCATTAAAACAATCTGTTGATTAAATACACAAAAAAAAAGTATATTTTCATCAATATTTTCAGGTCACCAGTGGAAGACAACCATTGCTGCTGCACGGGAGTGTCTTCTAGTGATAAGTGTACCCAGATCATCACAGTTTTGAGATAAGCAATAAATAATAAAGATGTATATGAACATTTAGTTATTGAAAAGCATGAGGTATGGAGTAGATTTATTTACAATTAGGGTGTATTGGTTATAAATGAGAGTTGAGGGGTGCTTAAGATACAGAGACCTACACTAGGGGGTATTTGGCAAGCACTAACCTTTATGATGAAATACATACACAGGTAAACTGAGAAATGGATTTCAGATGGTATAAAAAGTATATATTTAGGGAATTTCCACTACAGTGTATTGCAGTGATGTACACAGAAATGGATGTGTTACATTATTGGACAGTATGTGCATTAGTGCATTGCAGTGCCGTTCATTTTCAATAATAACCCAATGTACTCAGGCAATGAAGCTCCAACATCTTCGCACCACAAAGCAGAGTAATGCACAACTATATATTGCAGTGCACTGTGCTGCCAAAAATGATGCATGCCCATTTTTTTTGGACATTTTGGTGCCTTGTTAGCCTATTAATTTGAGTGGGCTGCCTTTATGCAATGCACATAACAAGTATAAAACTTGTGTTAACACACATGCATTAATGCAATGCACCAAGATTCCAAAATCCTAATGTGCCCTAAAATATAAATCTATAAATCACTGATGCACATGTAGAGGAAAGGTTATCTATGGACACTAAAAGTGCCAGTGTAGCTTTTCTAGTATGCCATAAGAGCTAACATCATTTTTATTACTTTGTGATTCCAAAGTTCAAATATAAGTTAAATTCTCCTTTTAAAAAAAAAGCAAAATGATCCTTTCTAGTATTTTACTTTCTATTTCTCACTTTGGGGCTATCATTGTGGAGCTATTAATTAAATGTATTTATGTATTGTATTCATCTGTACAACGCTACAATAGAATGAGTTAATTGTGTGAAACCACTAAAGTCACTCCCACTTCTCTATTTCAGATTCAGGGTAGAAATAGCTTGGTGACAATACTGTATTGCCTCAGATAAGGTTCCTAAGATTATATTTTCATTGTTCTTAACTATGATTTCTGGAAAAGTTGGTCTGCACAGGCTGCAGTGGCTAATGTTGGGGCCGTTAAACACTAAAAAATGGTCCTTGTTAGTACCTTTTCCTTGTGACTTAAAGGGTACGTAAAATAAAACAATTTTGCAGTTTCAATCCTCTATGTTCTCACTTAAAATATTGGACGTTTTATAAATGCCAGGAAAACAAATGTGCAAAGAAAGGGAAACACATACACAAAGGTGTCCGTTTGTGAACCAGAGAATAGCTGCGATTCAACAGATCTCAGCTATTCTCTGGTCATTCACAGTTTATAACACTCAGGAGATCCTGTCAGCCCTTCTCTGGAGATCTGTGTTCTCCGTCCAGATTCTCCAGCCCAGAGCTGGAGAATCAGAGGGACCGAAAACTAAGCAGAGATAATTTACCTCTGCTTAGTAAACTGGTCTTTTACTATAATCTGGAGAGATTATAGTAAAATGAGCCGTTTTTCACAGTTTGTAGACCGTTATCCAGCGTTTGGAAACCGTTCTCCCTTCGTTCGGAGAACTGCTTCATAAACTGCATTCACAGGAGAACTTTGTTCTCCGAGAATGCCGGAGAACTGAGCAGCGATCTATTACCTCTGGTTCACAAACGGACACCAAAGTACAATGATGAACCCTTCTTTCTTAAATTAAGGATTCTTATAGTTCACAACATTGCAATACACACTGCACACAATGCAAACACATGTGCTGACTCAGCTGATCTTTCCTACACATGTGCAGATTTAGTTTGTTGAACTAATCCAATGTAAAGTATTTTCACAGTGTTGTAAGCACGCTTTCCTGAGACTTGCTCCGGGTCTGGGAAATAAAGTATTAAAACTATTGGATTAGTATTACAGTCAGTCAACTAGCATTTCCTCCCATAACGGGTTTATTCTAAATCTCTTAACTGTAAAGTAGAAAGCTGCATAGAGTTGGGGCCTCTAAACACAGCCCT